TGAACACGGTGTCGCTAAAGAACAAACTTTCTAGGTCCGAGACTTTCCCCGACATCCATGATAGCTGTCCAGTAATAAAGCGGTTTTCCTCTTACCTTCATCTGACCTTTATAATATCTGTTCGTCCGTTTTATGTGCTTAGGGGCGCGTCGGCTGGATGACCCTTGGCCAATGGACTTAATCGTATTTACTATTACAATTTTGTACTTGCCTTATAACCCATATCAGTGCTCATTAACTACAAGCAACAACATTTGCGTGATTATCTGATAAGCAATCTCAGAGTCGCGAAGTTAACTCGCGCCCGGGTGGACGTTTGAATGCACTTCGGTCGATAGGGGGAATCAATTTGACCCGCTTAGATCCTAAAAAAACTACAATGGCTAGATACACCAAATTCACAGGGTGGTTGGCCTGTGCGTGAACTCACTAGAGTCAGAATGTGAGGTTCCTAGGGCATGACTTTGGGGTCAAATACGGTCAAACAAAATCAAACTCCAAATTGGTGTCTCAAGTACCCCCCGACCTACTCATGCAGGCGGCGTGAAGCTAGATACCTGTTCTAAGCAACAGGTTAATGAGATCAGTGACCTTGTTTGACCCTAATGAGGTAAAGGTGACCAAATAACTACAAGATTGCTACTCTTTTGCCAAGGTATTCGAATAAGCGCCAGGGATTACGCTACGTGATGTGTTCCTAGAACGAAATGTTGGCCTGGGTTATTTTAATTCAGTGACCTACTCTGATCTTTAAAAAACCCATGGAACATGTTTGATGCGCTCCCTGTCATTGATAAACTCGAAATGAGTACCAGAAACTGTCCCATGAAGCTAAGCTCTCGAACAGAAAAGCAAGTTAGTTTTACCTCGGACTGATCTTTATGCCTGACCCTAGGTCAGTGAAATTGATTTTAATTGTAAATTCAATTCGTTTATTGCCTAAGAAACTATCTCAGATAGACGTGACTTCGTCTAGCGCTCCGTTGTTGCATCACATATAACAATTCCCCAGAAAAGCCCTTCAATGACAGCTAAGGCCTGACTTTGAACTGCCATAGGTCAGCAACCATACCTGGTACAACAAATTTTATTTTCAATCAAAAGATCTGCTATTCAATTCTCTCCGGCTATGCAAAGCTCGGCGCGGCTGCAACCCGCCGTTCATAAATTATTCTGGAAAAACCTTTGGGGGGAACTTTTGGAGGGAATTTGAGCTCCCATCCGAGAGCGTGTTGACAAATTTGTAGGCGATTGCCGTATGTCCGCCACTTCATCGTCACGTCATCACGAACGATTCCCTAAGAATCGCCTTCGCTGACAGCAATGACCTGACTTTGATCTGCTATAATCCAGCGACCTTGCAAAATATATCTAATTTGCGTATGAAAAGATCGGCTATTCAATAGCTGACAGTTAAACCAAGCCTGATGCAGCTATGCTCCACCGTTCCAAATTTGTACCGGTAAATCTCCAGTAGGAGTGGAATAATTTTCCCCACCCCCCACCGGAGCGCGATGTAACCTCAGTCGCTACCCAGACCTTGTAACGCTTACTGAGTGAAATTCTACGGTACATTTCATGGAAAAACGGTATGTGACGGCATTGTGTGGGGGAGGGGGATGAAGCAAGCCGAAGCCCAATAAAACCCTTTTAATCTTAATTAAATCCTTTTGAGCGGAGGGATTTCTGGGATCGAAATTCACGCTAACCAGTGCTTGCTGTGCAAGCTCTGACACCCCACCATCCGATCACGCAGCTCCAGATCACCAGCATAAATTGGTGGCGAAAATTGTACGAGCCGCAATGCTCGGCCCGGTCTGTCCTGCAATATGACGTCAACCGACCATTCGCGCGCCCGCTGACACTGGCCACGGGCCATGTCTGTCAAGGCCAAATAGCTAGGCATTTAAAGCAACTCGAGCCCACCCTCCTTCCCTAGGGTGGGAGGATCGGAGAGCAGCCGCACTACCAACTGAGCGATCGTGGCGCACAACGGGTTTGATGAAGATTGCGGTAAAATCATCGGAAAGAACTGTCTCTGTTGAAACATGAGATATCGAATAATGGAACATGGGATGACCTGCCGGTGATCAGGGACAATAGGGGCCTACTGTGAGCTTAAACCAACCAGTGCGGACCAGTAGCACGCAGCGGTAAGTGCAGACTGTAGCTTTGATTGTCGAGCACGTTGCAGTCGTCGAGCTTAATGATAATCAAGTTGAGCGGACATCGATGTCTGGCCATCACGACAGCTTGTGAGACACATAACTAACCTAGTCACGATTTGTTACCACTCACCATCTGATCCGGCCTAGTTTCCGCCGTTGAGCTTAGGGGGCACCCATGCAGATCTCTTCACGGGGCGCCTGTGATACTCATTACTTACCTAGTTATGGCTCGCTTCCACTCATCATCCGACTAAGCTGCCGTCCTCGAGCTTAATGATAGCCGAACTTAGCAGACATCGGCGTGAAGCATGAATTATTGACGTGGTCACGAAAGCCTGCGATACACATCACTTACCCCCGACCATTTTCATTATTTTCATTTGAGTCGGGTGAGTGAATACAGCGACGCGGTTACCGACTGTGTTTATTGGGTCTAGGTAGTAGTTATTTATGAAGATTTAACGTGAAACTCTTCAATTGATGGATGTCTGGAATCGGAGCTAACGCTAAGCGGTGTCTGATGTGTGAGCCCTAACCCCTACCACCCGATCGAGTCATTCCGAGTCAACAGCAGATTTTGGAGGCGACATTTTGACCCGCCTCAAATCTCGGCACGGTTCGTCCTGCCCTCTGACGTCACGTGCTCTTTAGCATGGCCACTGCCACTGACCGAGAACCATGTCTGTCAAGGGCAAGTAGCGAGCGCCGAAAACGACTCGAGCCAACGCGCTGCGGGTGGTTGGACCGGAGGGCAGGCGCTCCCACCAACTAAGCTAATGGGACGGATATTAGTTATTTTTTTCATTTTGAAGTTAAGCGTTTTCAAACAGCCTGATTTTTCACACCTCTTGGACAGGCGGCTTGTCAATCTCTGGAGTTTGGATTTACCACTGCACATCAACTTCCAGAAAACGGCACCTCTGGCACACACTGTAGGCATCGGGGTGAGTGCCGCCGCCCGAGTTATAACCTTTTGTTTATTGTAAATGCTGTTGAAGGTAATCCATTAGTCATAGGCGTAACTTTTTGAGGGATCCCAGTGCTTCCTGCAGTAGGTGGCAGACACGGCCTTTAATACCTTAACTTGTCACATCAGCGCCACCTAGCCGACATTTATGGTCCGAATGTGCTGTCTGAAATGCTCAATATTGCTGTCTCAGGAAAATGACTCCTACGAAGTCTGTGCTGGGTAGATATATCAGAACATGCGATGTGAAATGCGTCGTAGGCTTCTTGCACACCAGCTTCTCGTTTAGCATAAGTTTTGTATGAGAATGAGCGAGATTTATTTGAAGCTGCCTGATGTGGCCAGATCTAACCATCAGTCTTACAAAGTGATTTTTGCCACTTCCATGGCCACCATGCAAAACTGCAGCTAATAATATGCATAGATGCTAACAAAAGAACTAAACAGACCCAGGGTGGTGTGAGGCGTCATTATGCCATAAGGTCCTTAATCGCGGCCGATACAGAACCAGCTGGCTGGCTGTGAATCCATATTTCTCGCTACGCGGAAAGTTTGTCAAGCAGCGGCTTCGCAATGGTCAGGAACGCCCCCCCCCCCCCCCCTCTGTTCATCTGATGAAAAGGCATTAGGGCAGCGCTCCAGTCGGCCCCAGCCAGGTCCTGTAGAAGCACATCAGTGTTCGTTCGACCATGGATGTGCATGTTGTTTCTCTGTTTTTTCCTCGCGTTCTATGTTCGGTGTAGAAGTGGCCAAGTGGGCCATTGCAGGGGCTGGGCACGATACCCGTGTGTTGTATACGTTCGGGGGAGTTTGGCTGACAACCACGTCCAGTGATGATTCAGTTTCACTGGGCAACTGGAGCGCTAGTGCGTATACAATCTGGGTTAGCGGGAGAAGTCTCAACAACTGACGAACTTGAAGCACGAGATGTCTGGCTGTCCTCGTGCATCTAGTTAAATATGTGATGGTCCATGGCCATCGCCGACCGCACCCACTGTGCAATGTACAAGAGAAAGATCCCATCTTCGACACAATCGCATGGCCCTGGACTCTCGGCACCCTCGTTCGGCACTTAGACGGCTTTGTCACGTTTTGGGGGCTGATATTCAACCGGTTTGTACCGTTCTTCGATAAGACGTCGAGGCAGAATAACGCAGCATGCTGCAATACGTAACGCATGGAAACATTGCTGAATAGTGACAAAACACTCGAACAATGCCACAAACTAAACCAGAGTCAACAAAACATCGTAACGCCATGCAAAAGCGGAGCTCCAAAAGTGTGCACATCAGTCAGTTGCACTTAACCAAACATGACATCACAGGTTTCAGTTTCTTTTCCATTGAAAAATGAAATACTTATGAACAGCCGTCATTGAAATTATGATAATTTTGAGCTCCTGTTTTTAATGTGCGGCACTCGTTCTTATACTTGGGCTCAAGGCTCAAGAAAGTTGGGGGTGAGGCAAACTCACAGTTGGGAGGCCAACTTTGACATGGAGTGGGTGGATGGGGGAGGGGAGGGAGCAAATGACCCACCCAAAATATTACAAATTGACACCCGTGGTAAGGAACGTTTTCCGGATTCGCGTCTTTTATTTTCAAGCAGCCTTTCTCAACTCTTGTCACCCTTTGACGATAAGCAGTGAGGACAACTCGAAATTTTGAACATCGTCAAATTTATTGTCATTTTGCACTGCAACGCCGGGTAACCAGTACCACTCAGTATACTTTAGGCCGTTAAATAAACATTGAAACTTTGCACATAATTTTTGTCGTTGTTTCATAAAACTATTTTAAGTTCTCTTGAATAACGAAAAAAAAGCATTTTTCTCTGGTATAACTGACAACGCATGCGCAGTTACGTTCAGTACAGTTCGCTTGTTTGTGGTAGGAGGTGGAGTGGGACGCGGAGCGCGATCGAAAATTTGTTGTGCATCAGTGTTTCTTTGGTTATAAGTTGTTTTCTAGCGAATAGTGTACCAACATGTCGACGTCGGATAACTTCTTAGTCATCGAGCCTTCGCAGGAGTTGCGATTCAAAGGTAATGCGTGTGCGCCAGTTTCGCCGATAGGTGTGCTGCAGTTGGGGATGGGCACAAGTTCAACTATATCATGATTTTGTGTCCATATTTGACGGTAAAAAATATCACTTGAGATTATTTTAAAGGGTGCTTCGCTAGCTATGTTGCTGAAGTGTTTTGATTGAGAGATAATGAGCAATGTCTCCCAGCAGGCTTTGCATATTGGGATGACATACATTTATGAAATGTCCGATTGTAAGAACATAATGTGCAAATGGTCGAGATCTTTGCAGCAGAAATAAGATCCAAGCTCTTACTTTAAAAGTGGTTAGAAAGATACTTGAGTATCATTTGATACCAGGAAGATCTCTGACATGCTTATCAGTAAGATCAAAATTACCATTGATTCAGTAACATTACTTGATGATGATGATGGTGATGATTTGGGGTTGTAGGGCGCATCAACTGCCGTGGGTCATGCAGTGCCCATAGTAACATCTACTTACTTTTACATAATTGTGCAGCTTTAGAGGCAGGTTTAAAGAATGTAGTTTGGTCAGAGAAAAGTTGGAGAAAGGCATACTTCAAAAGTTTTTCTTTACTTTATGACTGCTTTAATCTCAAGTAACTAGGAAATATTGTTAGCATGGTTGTTTTGCAACTTAATTGAAGATCAAATAATGAGCACTATTGATAGCATGGTTTATTGCCATTTGGAACATCAAAAGCATGCATGATGGAATGGCTCCATATTAACCCACAGGAGCAAAAAGGAATGTTTGTCATGTGCAGACAGACCCTTGACTCATTTTGAATTCATATTTGTGAATATATTCATGTACAGCTTTCCAGAGAAGCTGAGGGCAGTTGCAAAGGCAGGGATAATTTTAAGAGACCAATGAAATGGACATTATTGTTGCAACCAATTTGTGATATTCATTATTGTCTTTAAGGGTTTCTGAACAACACTTTGTTATCTCAGCCATCAGATGTGATCAAAGCTTGTTGATTTGCTTTTTGTGTTCTGTCCTTTAAAGATTTCCCATGATTGGAACTGATGTCTTTGTCTGGCAGACACATTTGAGTTTGCTGACTTGTCATTTTGCTATGTTCATATATGTTGCACAGGTACGCTATTTGACCGTTTCAAAAATATCAGCTGACGTGGATGTATCAGCTTTGTCATGCATGGCATATGTGGATGTAACAATAGGCCCTTGGATGTTGAGTATAGTTTTTCTGTTGAAGTGTTGTATAGAGAATTTAACAGCAAATGACTTTTCAGGCCCATTTAAAGATGAAGTGTCTAGCAGTAGCTTGACCCTTACCAATACATCAGACAAGAAGATCACTTTCAAGATCAAGACCACTGCACCAAAGAGATATTGTGTGCGACCAAACCAGGGTATAGTGGAGCCAGGAGCCACAGTCAACATTGCAGGTATGAGTGGTATTGACCCTTTTGCATTCTGAGTGCTAGCTTGTACAATATGTTTTGTTTTGGGCACTCAACCCAGATTATCATTGAATATACTGTGAGGGAAAATCACATGCCATGATGCCACAGATTTATGTTTCTCCAGTGTGGACAGCTATTTTAAACTATTCATCTGTTTCACTGTGTCCAATATTTTTTTGGTGTAAAACTGATTATTTTTATTATTTATAACTTGTTTAGGCACAATGTGTTTCTTACAATAATTTGGGGACCAAATTGTTGGAGCTGCATTTTTATTTGTGTTTTAATAGCAGTTTATTGACAACTAAGGATGACATTTTGAACAGGGCCTGTGCTACAGTTGCACCCCTGTAATCAAGCCCATAACCTATTTCAGATGCAACCCGATTATCCAATCAATTTAGTATTAAAGGCTTCAGGGTGCTTAGAATTAAGTCATGAATATCACAATATTAGAACACTGTGTGGAACTGCTGTAACTGAACTGTAAAATTGGGGCTCAGTTGACTGCGTGTTTGTGTTGATTATCCAGAGAAACTTTTGCATGCATGTAAGCACCAATCAGCTTCAAAATCCACACCAGGTGCAGATGTTTGCATGTAGGAGATAAGATTGGGGCCTCATGACAGATGCAAAGGGGTGTCTACTTTTTATAGAGAGAGGTGAGCTATTTTGTCATTATGCAGTCATCATGAGCCAGCTGTTAGGGAATGGTGCTCAACCAGCCTGAGGTGACTGCCATGGTGTTGTGTTGTGTTGTGATGTGATTATATTTTTCTGTCCTGTTGTTTAAATGGCACTGGACATGGTGCTGAACCTGGCTGAGGTGGCCACGTAATGGTATTACATTGCATTGTGATCATGTTCCCTTGTCCCATCATTCAAATGCTACTGCCATTTTCTGTTTTGCAGTAATGCTTCAGCCATTCGATTACGATCCGGCGGAGAAAAACAAACACAAGTTCATGGTACAGACGATGTTCCTGCCTGAGGGAGAGGAGGTGGAGTTGGAGACCCTGGTATGTTAGTTGGGGATCATTGCAGCTCTTATGGACTTCAGCACTCACAGAGATTCCTAGCATATGCCACTGTTTTCACTGGAAAAAGAACATTTGTGTTTTGATCATGTGTCAGTAAGTCATGTCACTGAAACCCCATGATGTCACAGTTTATCCAAAGGTGAGTTGGACATGTGTTTGCCCATAATATTGGAGGTACTGGTGAAAACTAATTTTGGCACAACCATAATGTACATTCATGAGGTACCTCAGGCAATGTTTGAACATTTATGTCATCAAGGTGGATCTGTTGAGGTAGGTACTGTGATACCCATGTTTCTGGCATGCATTTAGATTGCAATTTATTTCATTTGCATGGTTCAGACATATGACCCCTTGATTTATGTCATTGCTGGAGGAAGGCAAGAAGGCTTACAGCATTCCTGTCATTGGAGCTTCTGCAAACACTTATTACACACTCTGAGGAGGAAATGTTGTCATGATCTTCAGGCTTTTACCTCCCTGCATTGCATAAAAGGAACCAATCTGTGATTTTGAGATTCTAGCAGACCAGCGAGATGTTCCTGGAGGCAGATTGGTGCCAAACTCATGGGAGGGAATGATTAGATGGTCTGCATTTAGAGCTAATGTGCACCTTTTTTGCTAGAGACTGGGAAGGCCCTAGAACTCTGTGCCTGTTGGTTGGTTGGCTTGGTCTTGCGATGTTGACGTGATGTGCGGATACGGAGAAGTGATTTGTGATGTGGAGAGAAGTTATTTGTTCGCTTTTCCTCTGTGGGAACTTAGATCGGGTGCAAGCCGGAAGGATGGCAGTGAACAAAACAGCCAAAATGTTTTTTCAGGGATTTTGCTGCCTGAGATAGTTGTACGCGGCTGCAATGCAGAGTATGTAAGACATTGATTGGGCGCGTGTAGCTGTCACAATGCCGGTGGCCGTCTTCTTTATCATAATAACTACGGTGACGTCTGAAGCCCGATAGGCGAGGATGTAGTCCGGGGGCCACCACCCATATGTTTCTGGGTTAGATCTGCTGCCCTGGTATGGGTGCAGGAAAGCCGGAACTGTTCAGGTATTGCTGTAGCTCGGACACCTCACCGTGTCGAGCATGATTGACATGCTGAAAGCAAGGGTTGGGGAGGGGGACGAGTGCTTGGTTATTTCCTGTGTAACAGGAACAGATGTTCCAGATGTTCAGTTCATGAACAGATGGACCCATTTGTTCGGTATGATATGGTGGGTATTGGCTGAATTCTACCGAAAAGGACAACGGTACATCGACTGCAAACAATAAACGAGCATCGATATGCTGGCCTCGGTTGGCCTCTTGAGCTAGATGTATTTATGTATTTGGGCCCAGCTCAACAACTTTATTGTACAGTGTTGGAAAACTTGACATTTCCTGGTATAATGTATACCAGGAGGTTTGCTACTTCAGGATTGTGACTAGGTCTAATTAAATATTTTGTACTCCATCATGATGCAACAAAAACAGCCTTTGGAAAAACTCATTTTACCTCTTTGTGTCAGGAAAAAATAAAACCAGAAAGTGCGACAGCTTGAGACTTGCTGCTTCCATCAGAAGCCATGTATTGATATCTGCAAGAGCACAAATTGTGTACCCACCAGACTAAGATGCCCAATAGGAAGCAGCCTGTGTCGCTTTCTAGGTATGTGATAAACCATGTATCAAAATGTGAAAAATAAAGCATGTGAATGTTCAATGGAATCGCCTTTGAACAATACTGGGAAATGAGAAACGAGTACCAGAATCACACAGGTCTTTAGATTAGCAAAGCTCTTACTTCCTATGCCCTACGCAGACCAACTCAAACTTGAACATGGCTTAACCTACCATTGACGAGGAGCCGCATTAATTGCCAAGGATGCAACAAACGTTCATGGAAAACCGCATACCCAGTTACCTACCACAGACGGCCGCCTACCCACGCGCCACCGCTGTGTCATAGCAATACAAATAACAGAATCAGTCGCAATTCGGCGTCGGAAACATTTCAACTATTCAGCGGCTCGCGCCCGCCTCCCAGCTCAGGTTGGAGGTTGAACATAGTAAAACTCCCCGATTGTTTTTAATGAGTCACCTCCTCGTGACTGATTTGTCAAGAGCATAAATATTCTGCTCACGCTCATGCCTTGAACAGGTTCGTAAACATGTGGAGGGATGTATAGAGATGGACATCATGATTATGAAGGACTTATTTGCACTTATCCAGAACCGCCATGTGGTTGGATTTTGGGTCACTTCCTGGTATCTGGAGTACAAAAATGTTATGTCAGTTGTGGATTTAAATCAAGTTGAATTTGTCACTTAAGGGTGGAAATTAAAGCTGGTAATGCAGGCTCTGCAAAAACCTTTTAAGTCGAAAAACGTTGCTATAGATAGCCAAAAAAACTTCGGAGACAGCCATCTCACTCCGGCAAAAGCACCAGGACACCAGAGTAGCATGAGCCCATAACTTTGGCTCGGCAAATTATGGAGAAGGGTTTATTAGGACAAAAACATCAATTAATTGCAACCTAAATTATCATATTTCACAACAGTAGCGATTAAAGCGCATCAAAATCCATGAATACCTTGCATTATCCGCGGGAATCAGCGGAGTGACTGACTGATCCCTTTGGCCGGCCTACACGGGTCTGTCAGGCATTGTACTTGCGCTGGGTCGGTAAATGGCTTAAGAGTGTTGCCTGTCTCTATTTTTCGGATGGGACGTGCAGGGCCTCGTGTGTTTGGTCGGTAGTGGGAAGGTGGAGGACATGTATGTTTAGCTGCTTTTAAGACCAGTTTGCTGGTGGAGCGTGAGTAGTGCGACCGTGGTGGAGTGGTAGTAGTGTGATCATGGTGGAGCATGAGTAGGTGGCCGTCCGTGGCATGTTCATTTGCATTTTTTTGTGTACCATTTTTGTCTGGCTGTGGGTATGGTACCCACCCTCCATTTTGGAGGGTGTATAAGCCGGGTGTGTAGCCACCCTCCATTTTGGAGAGTGTATCAGCCCGATGCGTAATTACCCTCCGTTTTGGAGAGTGTATACACAGAGCCTTTCATAAATTGCAAACCAATGTATATGAACATGTGTTTCATCGCACAGGGTATGCGATCGTGTTGTTTCCAGTGTGCCATGTTTAATGCTTATGTTTTCTTTCCTTTAAAGTGGTTTTGCATGAATTGCTGCGTACGAAAAGTGACGCTTTTGTTGAGTGCTACCCATTGTACTGTTATCTCTCACTGTAGAAAATTTGTACTCCGCTACCACGAAATATTTTGGAATTCCGAACACTGCCATTGTATATTATGATTATGTTCGCGTTACATTTTTGACATTAACCAGCTTGAGCCGATAGTACCAGAAATGGTTTGAAATCAATGCTGGAAGCTAACGCAATTCACGTGGGCCATGAAAGCTCATTGCTGGACGGGTTTACGTGGCCCAGAAGCATTGCCCGATTGGCGTGAAACTAATTGCTTGAATTACTGTGTTTGGGCAAATATAAAGAGCAATGTGAAGAGCTTATGAAATGTGTCCCTCAGTGCGTAGGCAGATGTACTGCAGTGAAGGGGCTCTTCGCCGTCTGTTCTTTATTTTGCCTATCGGAGATGGGGCCCCCTCTGTTCGCTGGCAGGTTTAAATGGTTTTGCTAGTCCTCTGGGATGAGTGCAAAGCGGTGTTATCAACCCATAGAGGAGCGGTATTGTGCAGACGTTGGACTGACCGAGTTCGGTGCGGCTGGTTTCAGTGGAAGACTGCCAGTCCGGAGCAGATCATGACCTCGAACAAGATGCGCTGCGTGTTCGAGCTGCCGGCGGATGCACAGGAGGATCTGGTCAACAGGGTGCGTGCGGGGTCACGTCGCCCCGGTGTGCCGCGCGGCCGCGGCCTGTGCCTCGGCACAACCTGTCGGCCCCTGGTCACGGCGGCTGGAAAGTTTTGTGTGCATTTTCCCAGCGAATGTGCAACGACATGTGCTGGAGTATGTTTAATAACCGATAGTGACGTACAGAAGCGCTCGACGACGTCTGGGTCGTCACAGTAACCTGCGGGGTGTTCCGTGCCGTATGTGGCATCGCAGCATCGTAAGTAACAGCTTCCCACCCGCCGTGTGCTGCGCACCACTCCTCGGCGCAGGCTGCGAGCGTCGAGCGTTGTGCCGCTTGCGCGAGGCGCGATGAGTGCCGTCGTCGTCGCTGCCGTCGGCACCGGGGCCAATGGCTTGACGGCGGCTCGCGCTGACCGGCAGCCGGAGCCGAAGGACATGAAGATGGCGACGGAGGAGCTGCGCAAGCTGCGGGAGGACCTGAGCAGTGCCCGCGGCGAAAATCTACAGCTCAGGGTGAGTGCTCGGGACGGCCGACTCCACCGCCGACTCCGCGATGCTTTCCGCGACGCCCTCAGTTGTTTGCTCTGTTTTACGGAATGTTCGTGACACATCTCTGCATTTGTGTTGCGGCCAGACGGCCCAGCCTCAGGCAATAAGGATCAACCTCGCGGTTGGGAAGTGACATTTCTTGACTTAACGGTCGTGGGCAGTCCTTCTGAAAACTCACAATGAGTGCTTCATTGTGCTGCCATCAGGATCAGATGTTGATTTTTGTACTGAAGGCAGGTATGTAGACTAGAATGTTGCCGAGGGTTTCTGTCAAATAATTATTTCTTCACACTTTGCACTGAAATATGCTTTGTGCAGACTACACAGGTGAGTTTGTCCGCGTGGGATCGTCAGGCGTCACTTTGACATCGCCTGATCATTGGCAACAGCCGTATTCGCCGCTTGAGACGGCTCGATCATGGTGCGATGACAGGGTATGTGAGATATGTGCTGTGCTGCACTAGGCCCAATGCCGCCGCCGGTGGTGTATCCCTTTATTCCTTAATTGAATAAAGGTCGTAAAATTGTCGAAGACAAAGATAATTGATCATTTGTTGTGCCATTCTTCAAGCTGAATAATGGCAAAACATCTTTCTTTGTATGCGTCGGTGTATGTGGTCGTTATCTTTCTTAAGTGGACTTCTGGGAGATGGCGAGATGCGGGTGGGCTACCTTTTTGTTCGCACCATTCCACAAGCGTGCGCGGTCGGGTTTGATTGCCGGATGGTCGAACCTGCGCCCATACGGCGCCTCTTCCGCGGCTGACCGTTAAGCTACAATGCGAATCTTAAGGAGCTGCCCGAGTTGCTGAGATGAGCCTGCACCCGTCTGGGCGACTGCTGTTGAAAATTCAATTGCATTGTTCGCACGTCATGCTCAATAATTTAGAAATTGTTGGAGACGGGTTAACAAGCCCGATCCTCCCAGAGCATCGGTTCATCAAATTGGTAAGTTGACTGTCGTTTGTGGTTTGCGTAAGTGTGGGTGCCCACCAATTAACGTACTAGCTCGACGGCGGGCAGAGGCGTAGAAGTGACAGTACACGAATCATGAAGTACACATGCGCAAGATCGTGTTGGTAAAAGAATCTGCGATATCAGCTGCAGGGCATTGGCACTCTAGCGCTGGCCGTGGATTTGCCTGGGTCCAACCGTGTAAAAGATGTGGTGTGGTTTCGCTGACCAGATCGGATTGCGTTTCTAAATTTAACCGCACTCTTTAATAGCTCAAGCCGACTGCGATCCACGCGGGCGATTTTGATGCTGCTTTTCGCATGAGTGCGTCGTTTATCGATCATGAAGGTATTGGCGAAGTCCGTGTTTGATGCACTCCGCCAGTGTGTAAGTCGAGGCGACGGCACCACACTTATGTGGCCGATCGGTCAGCTGTAGCCTCACTGAACCCTAATGCAAGCTAGTAAATTTTCGTGCCGTGCAATGGTTGTAAAAAGCACCTCAACTTCCATGATTTTGACCTGTTTTTAATTCATGTTGGAATAATTCAAATTGGCTGAGCGGGTTCTGGGATAGCCTGGGAGAGGGAGGGGGGGGGGGAGAAGGGGGGGGGAGTATACACCAGCTCACCAGTGGTGTTGGTCGCGAACGCCAATGGCGTCACGAACAGGCAAAATGCAAGGCCATTGTGTGTAACATGGGATAAGAACATGATGTAGTCAAGTTAGGAGAGTGGATGGGAAAACGTGGAGTCCACAGGAACGATGTCAATTTAGTCTGATGTTATGATGATAGTATTTATTGCTTTTGGGCGTGTTGACTACGTGGCCATTTTGCGTCCTTAGTCTTATGATAGTCTTTTGCTGCATTATGGTAGGCTTGTCAATTCAGATATGAATGTACAAGCCGAGAATCAGATACAAGCCTTAAAACAATCATTTCCAAATGCCGTCTGGTCCCGCCGGATCTAACACCGGTCCTGCCTCACTGGGTAATCCCGGTCCCGCCTGACCCTGTCACTGTTGGTCCCACCGGTCCTACCTCACTGGGGTACTACCTGCCCTGTTGATCGTGTCGCCGCTCCGCCGGACTAGACCACTAGTCCGGGTGAGCGCAGCCTCCACCCTTGCCTCTGGGCAGTGTCACACTGGCCCTGCTGAGTTGGAGGGTTCCAACAGTCCTCTCGAGTTCTGTTTTGCCGCCGTCAGTTGTAGCTGGCCCCGCTCTGGCCGTGTCGAGTGTGTGGCCGCGTGTGAGGCGGTCAGCGACAGCGGCAGGCTGCGGTGTGTGACTGCCGTCGCGTCCGGCGGCCCCCGCTGACTGACGCACCCTTGGCCGTTGCAGGAGGAAGGCATTCGATTGCGGCGCCAGCTGTCGAGTGCGGCCAGCGCGCCGGGCAGCGCCGCTGCCGACGCCGCGCCCGCCGACACCACCATGTACTATGTGATGGCCGCCGTGGCGCTAGTCATCGGCGTCATCGTAGGCAAACTTGTCATGTAGACCGGTCCGATCCGCCGCCGCCGCCGCTGGCAGAGCAGCACCACCGCCAGCAGCAGCAGCAGCAGCAGCTCTCCCGTACCAAATCAGAGGCGTGTGCCTGCGCTTGTCCGTCGGTGTGGAGTCGGACCGCGTACGACCCCTCCCCTCGTCCGCCCGCACGCATCACGGAATTTCTTATCTGTCCCCGGTTTCGGCCCCTGCCGCGATTGAAATGGCCCGTGAATCTGGGGGCGATCGTTGCCGACGGCTCCTCCGACCCCCTCTGCCCGAACCAAGGTAGTGGCGAATGGTTTGCCGTTCTGGTGTGGCCGTATGCGAGAGGTTGTGCACGCATGCGCGTCAGGGATGGAGGCGCCAAGGCCTGGCATGGGGTGTGGGTGTGGGAGTGCCGGTGTCACTCTGGACAGTGCAGCGAGCTGCGGCGTGTCGTCCCACCGCCTGCCATTGGCCAGCCAGCGATTGTCCAGTCTGCGCCGAGAGGTTGCTCCTGGGTTAGCGGGCGAGGGAGCGGTGGGTTGTTGTCTTTTCTACGGCGCCCGACGGAGGAGGGGCGCTCTGTTACTGTGGCGCCCCGAGCTGTCGTGAAATCGCCGGTTGTTTGGCTGTGTGGAAATATTGCGCTAGTCGTGGGTTACGCGTTCTTGGATCTTTATGTTACTAATAACCCTTATTTTTGTTTTCATTTCTCCCTTTCTGATACGAAATTTATGTAGGGTGCGTTGGTGTCTCAGCCAGCATGCAGCGGCGCACGATTTCAGCTTTCCTTGCCCTGCTCGGTCTCAGTTTCCTCCTTTCCGCCCTCTCTATACGGGCGCCTCCCTTCCTCTATGGCTCTTCCAGACTGCTAGGCTTCAGTAGCCGTTTGGGAACCCTGCACATTGGTTGGAATTGCCATTGGCAGGGTTGTGTAATATCTCCCAGTGTTTATAACCCACCGGAAGGTATCATCAATATGCATGTCGATTTGCCTGTCGGTGATTTGAAGTAGTCAATAAATTCGAGCTCGGACTCATTCGTACGCAATTCAGCATCATCGGACATGTCACGAAGAGCGCCGTGTGAAAGGAGCCGACCCAGCCATCGGACACGCAGCTGCGGCGCGCCTCGTGCGCAGCGGACGGAAGCTTCACCAGCACAGCCGGAAGGTACTGCTTCGGAAATGCGCTTCAGGCGCACGTGTTATTCGTCTTCTGTTATGGAAGAGCATACACCGTTAACGTTCACGCCACGGGTCCATCCGACTTGTATATTGGGCTGCCGGACCACGCTTGAACATTATTTCCATGTGCTCTGCGCTCATCTCCCAGTGTTACTTAACAATGGCGGGCATAACGAACTACCCAAAGCATGACTGTGACTTCATCTGGATTCGCGTGGGTGTCATGCAGGTCACCGCCGGCGCCGGGTCAGACCCGGGCATCAGCTGTATGGCGGCCGGTGACCGGGGCGCTGCAGCTGCGGGGACGGCGCGAACCAGCCGCTACAGAGCGCCGGCAGCCATCAGCCGCGGCAGAAAACATCTGGCCTCTCGCTCATGACACGGGCCAGGCCCATACAGGTGTTCTACCACCGTCGTGACATCGCGCACAACAATACAGATTCGCCGGCGGGTGGACGCATAGCTCCGCTGGCGGGATGGAAGCACGCATCCACTTGCGCGGAAGGACGGACGGACAGATCCGCTGGAAGGGCGGGACGAACGCACAAATCCGCTGGAAGGGCGGGACGAACGCACAGATCCGCTGGAAGGGCAAGGTGGACGCACAGATCTGCCGGCGGAGTTCCAGGGCAGGTCGGCCGGTGCCTTGCAAACTCATTGCTTAGATTTACATGAAACTCTTCGTCGTCAAGGTAATCCTTAGCGCTGAACACGCATGTGGTTTTACCAGGTCGTCCAGTTCAGAAGTTCAGTATCGGCGCCTTCACGGCCTTAAACAGCACGCCCCACTGGTGGTCCGGTTACTGCCCATAACTCGCACCGCTGTGTGAGCGTCACGAGGTCAGTGGTTCGCTGCTTTGGGGCCGCCCGCCTCCTAGCTGAGACAGCCAGAAGGAATGTGTGACTGCTGGATTGGCGCGCAGGGCGTTGCACTCTTCAGCCACGTCCTGGCACCGTCTGCCGCCGACTGTTGTGGCTTCCCGGAGGCAGGACGCAGCCTGGATTTTTTAGCGGCGGGGCGGGGAGAGGGGGGGGGGGGGGGTTCATCTCTGAGTACTCATGCTGATGCAAGTGCTGCCTCGGTTGTGTTTATTATAGGGGTTCATGAACGTTTATTGGCGCGATCCATTGGGCAGCATTTGAAACACACCTTCCCCATGCTGCGTCCATGGACCCAATTAAGCCCACGTGGACTATTTTAAGTCGGTATGGTGTCCATTTGTGTGTGCTGACCGGCTGGAGCTTAACTTCTCCCCAAAATGAAGACTTAGGGCCTTTGGTGGTGGCACCAATGTTCGGCGCCCCTCCACCATGACATTTTCGCTAGTTTTCGAGTCCCCAATTTTAATGGGCGGCTCAAGGTAGGGAGAGGGGACTATGCCTCTCTGTCTCTGGATGATCCGTTTTCCAAATTGCATTACCAACAACACAGATTTTACCATTTGGTTTGCCTTTAAAAGCTATTATGACGTCATCAACAGCTGGCTTGTCAATCTACAAAGTACGGTCTAGGAAACAATCGCGCCACACTCGCCGGCAGTTTGCACCTGTCCGGAGGGGGAAACTGTGTAGTCGCTGGCCTCTGTTCAGTGGCATGTTCGTGCCAGGTTTCTCTGCGGTTTTTTCACAGGCAGCCGGTTTGGGCAGAGGCGGTCTAATCATCTATGTAGGTAGGTGGGTAGATGGGGCGTGGATTTGTGCACATGCTTGTTGGATTTGGGGCAAACT